AGCTTGATGCACTGAGATGAGGTCTGCAGACAGGTGGCGCCTGTGAGAGGTATGCAAGCCCTTCCGGGGAACAGGATTACTGGATAGCCGGTTCAAAGCCAAGATCCAGTACCGGGTGGAGATCAGAACAGACGTAGTCAGATGGGATAGCTGAGGTCATACACAGAGAGTGCAAGAGAGAATATCCGTTAGCCAAGCTGAGGTCATACACAAAAGAGAAAGAGAAAATATCCGTTAGCCAGCCGAGGTCAGGTCAGGGTTTAAGCAGAGAAGGACAGGTCAAGGAGCAAGCCGAGTCAGTAACAGGAAATCACAGATCACAGTAGCACAGGAAAACAATACTTGCCCGGCCCCCAGAACTACATGTCCCGGGCGTCGGGTGATGTAAAGTGACCATCCCTGCATGATGAGCCGACATTGACCTCACAGCACTGCCTCAGAGCAAACTAGTCATAGGAAGGATCAGATTTATCATTCCTTGTCTGCAGATCTAATACTCATCAAAACCAGTTCAGAGACCAAACAAACCCAACAGAGAAAAGGGGCCCCGGACCCAAAATTGTAGTAAACACTAAACAGTCCAAACAAAATGTCTTCCCATGGGGGGAGTAGTTCTTCAATGTCCAGCAACCCTCCTATTCCCCCCTCACATCCACATCCTATTATTGTGTGACCAATACCATCCAAATCATTCTTACTTTCATTTCCCAAAGTTATCCGTCTACAAGGAGACCTGTATAGATCACATGATGGCACCAATGAGGATGGAGGAGGACCGGAGTCACATGACTGAGAAGATACTAAACCTCACCCTGGAGATCATCTACCTGCTGACCGGAGAGGTGAGGAGGATTCTGGGAGGTCACATGACATCACTCTCATCTCTATTAATAAAACACAGACCTGACCGGAGAGGTGAGGAGGATTCTGGGAGGTCACATGACATCACTTCTGATCTCTATTAATAAAAAACACAGACCTGACCGGAGAGGTGAGGAGGATTCTGGGAGGTCACATGACATCACTCTGATCTCTATTAATAAAACACAGACCTGACCGGAGAGGTGAGGAGGATTCTGGGAGGTCACATGACATCACTCTCATCTCTATTAATAAAACACAGACCTGACCGGGAGAGGTGAGGAGGATTCTGGGAGGTCACATGACATCACTCTCATCTCTATTAATAAAAACACAGACCTGACCGAGAGGTGAGGAGGATTCTGGGAGTCTAACATGATATTCCTATTGGTTTCTCAATACAGAGATTTCCTCTTCTGAAGTCAGGTGATCATATGACCATCACAGTGCCTCCATGTGACTCCCTAAACCCTGAGAGACACAACATGCAGAAGATTCTAGAAGTCACCAAGAAGATGATGGAGCTGCTGACAGGAGAGGTGAGCGGTGCCGGGAATTCTGGGATATTATCCAATCACTGATAGTATCATTAGGATCTGTACATTATCTGCATTGTTACCATTGATGTCATTTTTATTATATATTCAGAGTGGAAACCTGAGAGATCCTAAAGTTTGAGGTTAAAGAAGAGATAAAAGAGGAGGAGGATGAGGATGGGGGGATGGAGGAGTCAGAGCTTCTAAAAGAACACAAAGATCTGTACCAGGACACCATGGTGGAGTCATCCAGCTACAGGAACCCACCAGAGAGATGTCCCCGTCCTCTGTATTCCCGGGATTCCACACAGGAAGGTCACACCATCCCTCACTATTACAAGGTTGGTGGGATGGAGCATCTAGAACATGGACTTGTGGAGACAATGTGTGGATTTTATATGTGATGTCACAATCATAAATCTTACATTTTACAGATGATATTTTCTCTCATTTCCTTGATTTAGAGTGGAGATCCAATCGATATAGAATTTGAGGTGAAAGCAGAAGAAGAAGAGGCGTATGTGAGGGATGATCAGCAGTCTATGGAGGAGGATGGAATAACGGGGACATTTATAGAGGAGGACACTCCTACAGAGATCAGCACAGGTGGGTCATGAACACTAAATCCATTCCTCCACCCATACTGCTCACTGATTGGTCCAGAGTAGGGCGGGGACTGGGTGATATCAGCCTGTAAGACACAATTTATGTAACTAGACTGGATTTTTGGAGATTCTGGGGTTCAGCTGGCTGCAAAATGTTACGTTTTCACCATTAGCATTAACCTAGGCACCTGGGACATGTACTTTGGGTCTCCGGCCCCATATCTGGTTCTAGCAAGATCTCTGACAGAACAATTCTCCCAGGGTTCCTTGCTCTGTGTGGTCTGCTGGCTGTGCCGGGTGGAGGGATATGTCTGTATGTCTCAGACCCAAGTCACTGAGTGCAGTCTCAGGAGATGGGAGGCAGCGGTGTGGGATCTCTGCAACTTGTCTACAGTAAACATTTAATCTTCCAATGATTACTGAATACCAATATTATGAGTCCTGACCCTTACACTGTATACTTTATATTTTAAATTACATACTCCTGACCCCTGCACTATATACTCTATGTTGTACATTACATACTCCTGACCCCTGCACTATATACTCTATGTTGTACATTACATACTCCTGACCCCTGCACTATATACATGTTGTACATTACATTACTCCTGACCCCTGCACTATATACTATATGTATGTTGTACATTACATACTCCTGACCCCTGCACTATATACTCTATGTTGTACATTACATACTCCTGACCCCTGCACTATATACTCTATGTTGTACATTACATACTCCTGACCCCTGCACTATATACTCTATGTTGTACATTACATACTCCTGACCCCTGCACTATATACTCTATGTTGTACATTACATACTCCTGACCCCTGCACTATATACTTACTCCTGATGTTGTACATTACATTACATACTCCTGACCCCTCTGCACTATATATACTCTATGTTGTACATTACATACTCCTGACCCCTGCACTATATACTCTATGTTGTACATTACATACTCCTGACCCCTGCACTATATACTCTATGTTGTACATTACATACTCCTGACCCCTGCACTATATACTCTATGTTGTACATTACATACTCCTGACCCCTGCACTATATACTCTATGTTGTACATTACATACTCCTGACCCCTGCACTATATACTCTATGTTGTACATTACATACTCCTGACCCCTGCACTATATACTCTATGTTGTACATTACATACTCCTGACCCCTGCACTATACTATGTTGTACTCTATGTTGTACATTACATACTCCCTGACCCCTGCACTATATACTCTATGTTGTACATTACATACTCCTGACCCCTGCACTATATACTCTATGTTGTACATTACATACTCCTGACCCCTGCACTATATACTCTATGTTGTACATTACATACTCCTGACCCCTGCACTATATACTCTATGTTGTACATTACATACTCCTGACCCCTGCACTATATACTCTGTTGTACATTACATACTCCTGACCTCTGCACTATATACTCTGTTGTACATTACATACTGCCCCCCTGCACTATATACTCTATGTTGTACATTCCATAGTCTGATTTCTGCTCCCCCCACTGCTATATATACACATAATATGGATTCTCATTGTTCCCCCCCATTTCCTACCAGCTGGACATTTTATATCGGCTGATGTGATTGGAGCACAGACTTTTACATGGTGATAATAATGTGATAACATCCTCCAACTTTGGACCCTTAAACAGAAAGTGATAATGAGGGAGGAGTCAATACCCCAATGATGGTGGTCTTCAGGATCAGTCCAGTCTTCATCTTGGTTGTTCTCCCCCCATCCTCACTCTCTGACCTCTGGTGGGGCTCAGCCCCGCTGTTCTTCATGACTAAATCATGGACTAAATAAGGAAGTGCAGTACTTCTTGTGTTGGGAAGATGGCGATGAGTGATAGAGGGGGTGGGGACCCTCGTCCTATAATCCCCTCATCACTGTCCCTCCTATAAAAGACAGTTCTGGTTGTTTCCTCACTCTCTGACTAAGGTCCATGAATAAAGAAATGACCTGGTAGGAGATCAGAGGAGCCATTTCCTAGTTCCCTTGAGGGTGGAATTGTAAGCTCCTCAGAGACCAAGCTGCCTGATGTGGGCGGAGTCCTGGTTTGGGGGAACCAATCAGCTCCTGTCTAGTAATCCTCTTTGTCTTTGTATTTTAGTCCATGGCCGGGAGATGAGGAAAACCTCCGAGGATTGTCTCACTTTGTCTCCAGACTGGAAAGTAGAAGATGAGGACATCACACAGTATAGTCCAGGAGAAAACCCGGCTCCCTCCAATGTCCATCCGGCACCACCCAGTGTAGATGGACCATCGGATTCCTCGTATCCTGCGGAACCTCAGACTGTGCGGGACCGGGCGGCCTTCCAACAGGGAATAGCTTCTCCTGCATTGAGTGTGGGAAGAGATTGCAATCTAAATCTGGTCTTAATGTGCATGAAAGATCTCACACGGGGGAGAAGCCTTATTCCTGTCCTGAGTGCGGGAAATGTTTTTCAGACAAGTCCAATCTTTACAAACATCAGAGATCTCATACGGGGGAAAAGCCATATTCCTGTTCTGAGTGTGGGAAATGTTTTTCAGTGAAGTCCAGTCTTTTCACACATCAGAGATCTCACACGGGGGACAAGCCGTATTCCTGTACTAAGTGTGGGAAATGTTTTTTCAGTGAAGTCCAGTCTTTTCACACATCACAGATCTCACACAGGGGACAAGCCGTATTCCTGTCTCGAGTGTGGGAAATGTTTTTCCCAGACGTCCCATCTTTACAGACATCAGAGATCTCACACGGGGGAGAAGCCGTATTCCTGTCCTGAGTGCGGGAAATGTTTTTCAGATAAGTATCATCTTTCCAGACATCAGAGGTCTCACACGGGGGAGATTCCATATCCCTGTCCTGGGTGCGGGAAATGTTTTTCACAGAAGTCTGAACTGTACATACATCAGAGATCTCACACGGGGGAGAAGTTGTATTCCTGTTCTGAGTGTGGGGAATTTTTTTTCCACAGAAGTCACATCTTTACATACATCAGAGATCTCACACAGGGGAGAAGCCGTATTCCTGTCCTGAGTGCGGGAAATGTTTTTCAGTTAAGTCCCATCTTAACACACATCAGAGATCTCACACAGGGGACAAGCCACTTTCCTGTTCTGAGTGCGGGAAATGTTTTTCAGATAAGTCCAATCTTTACATACATCAGAGGTCTCACACGGGGAGAAGCCATATCCTGCCCTGAATGTGGGAAATGTTTTTTTGCGCAGAAGTCCCATCTTTCCAGACATCAGAGATTTTACACAGGGAGAAGCCACTTTCCTGTCCTGAGTGAGGGAAATGTACCTCACTGAAGTCCTATCTTCCTGTACATCAGAGGTCCCACACAACCCTGGAGGTGTATTAGTGCCTTGAGTGTGGGAAATGTTGCTGGACATCCCAGTTTTCATGTGGGGAAGAAGCACACCCTGATATACACCTCAGATATACTCCATGGCTGATCTTCATCATGGAAGGTACATTAGACCAGGAGATCAGAGGCCCCTAGAGATGTAGAAGAAGCAGGAGATCAGAGGTCCCCAGAGAAATGGATGAAGTGGTGGAAGAAGCAGTAGACCAGAAGATCAGAGGCCCCCAGAGACATGGATAAAGTGGTGGAAGAAGCAGGTAGACCAGGAGATCAAAGGTCCCCAGAGACATAGATGAAGTGGTGGAAGAAGCAGTAGAGGAGATCATAGGTCTCCAGAGACATGGATGAAGTTGTGGAAGAAGCAGTAGACCAGAAGATCAGAGGCCCCCAGAGACATGGATAAAGTGGTGGAAGAAGCAGTAGACCAGGAGATCAAAGGTCCCCAGAGACATAGATGAAGTGGTGGAAGAAGCAGGAGATCATAGGTCCCAGAGACATGGATGAAGTTGTGGAAGAAGCAGTAGATCAGGAGATCAGAGGCCCCCAGAGACATGGATGAAGTGGTGGAAGAAGAGTAGCAGGAGATCAGAGGCCCCCAGAGAAATGGATGAAGTGGTGAAAGAAGCAGGAGATCAGAGGTCTCCAGAGACATGGATGAAGTGGTGAAAGAAGCAGGAGATCAGAGGCCTCCAGAGACATGATGAAGTGGTGGAAGAAGCAGGAGATTAGAGGCCCCAGAGACATGGATGAAGTGGTGGAAGAAGCAGTAGACCAGGAGATCAGAGGCCCCCAGAGACATGGATGAAGTGGATGAAAAGAAGCAGTAGACCAGGAGATCAGAGGTCCCCAGAGACATGGATGAAGTGGTGGAAAGAAGCAGGAGATCAGAGGCCCCCAGAGACATGGATGAAGTGGTGGAAGAAGCAGTAGACCAGGAGATCAGAGGCCCCCAGAGACATGGATGAAGTGGTGGAAGAAGCAGTAGACCAGGAGATCAGAGGTCCCCAGAGACATGGATGAAAGTGGTCACAATACAATAGTACGATGGAAATCTATCAATCTCTTATGTTTCACCACAAATTGAAAAAATAAAGCAAGTGTGAAGCCAAAAACAATGAATTGTGTGGTTCTCCGATTATGAGGGAAATGACAGATGTGGATGTCACCAACACTTCTTCATGATGAAGCACACAGCACATCAGGGTACAACACCGGGGGGCTTCCCAGAATCCTATGACCCCCAATTCAGAGGGATCACCCAGCACTTGTCTATCAATCCAAGATCTCCAGCTTTCCTCCAACCCCCATCTCAGACGATGGCAGTGCTGCGTCCCATCAGATCGCTGTGCAGATAGACTGTGATATAGTAGAAAAGACACTCTCCATGGTGTCATCAAACACCAATTAATAAATTTTGACTGAAATTTATGATGAAATTTGTTTTTTTTATTGTTTAATAGCAAAAAGTCCAAAATATTTTTTTTTCAAAATTGTCTTTTTTTTATAGCACAAAAAATAAAACATGCACAGGTGATCAAATACCACCGAAAGAAAGATCCAATTGTGGGCAAAAAAGGATGTAAATTTCATTTGGGTGCGGCGTAGCATGACCGTGCAATTGTCAGTGAAATTAACAGCGCCGTATCACAAGAAAATGGCCTGGTCAGGAAGGGGGGGGTGGTAAATCCTCCAGAGGGGATAATGTGGTAAATGGCCTTGTCAGGGAGGGTGGTAAATCCTCTGGAGGGGTTAATGTAGTAAATGGCCTGGTCAGGAAGGGGTATAAATCCTCCGGAGGGGGGGTTAATGTGGTAAATGGCCTTGTCAGTAGGGGGGGGGGTGTGAGGGAGGGTAGGCAGGACAGAACACACAAAGCAGATGGCAAACATTTAAAGCTTTATTAAAAGAGACAAAAATCACTCAATGGGGAGTAGTGAGGAGAGAGAGAGAGCCCAGAATACTTTGTAATTCATCCCCGATGGGCAAAGTAAAAGTCTCTACAGCAGTTTGTAATCCAACAGGGAGGTAAGAGGCAGTTCATAAACAGGTCAGATAACACAGGAGAGGCATACATGCAGAGCTGGTGCATGCCCAGATAGAGCTGGTGATAGTCCAGATAGAGCTGGTGTGATGTCCCAGATAGAGCTCGGTGTCTCAGGCAGAGCTGGTGTGATAGTCCCCCAGATAGAGCTGGCGGCGTCTCAGGCAGAGCTGATGTGATAGTCCCAGATAGAGCTGGCTGGCGGCGTCTCAGGCAGAGCTGGTGTGATAGTCCCAGATAGAGCTGGCCGTCTCAGGCAGAGCTGGTGTGATAGTCCCAGATAGAGCTGGCGCGTCTCAGGCAGAGCTGGATGTGATAGTCCCAGATAGAGCTGGCAGCGTCTCAGGCAGAGCTGATGTGATAGTCCCAGATAGAGCTGGCAGCGTCTCAGGCAGATAGAGCTGGTGTGATAGTCCCAGATAGAGCGGCAGCGTCTCAGGCAGAGCTGTCCCAGATCAGGCAGAGCTGGTGTGATAGTCCCAGATAGAGCTGGCAGCGTCTCAGGCAGAGCTGGTGTGATAGTCCCAGATAGAGCTGGCGGCGTCTCAGCAGAGCTGATGTGATAGTCCCAGATAGAGCTGGCAGTGTCTCAGATAGAGTCCCAGATAGGGCTGTGATGTGATAGTCCCAGATAGAGCTGGCAGCGTCTCAGATAGAGCTGGTGTGATAGTCCCAGATAGAGCTCTCAGGCAGCGTCTCAGATAGCAGAGAGCTGATGTGATAGTCCCAGATAGAGCTCCCAGATAGATAGCTAGAGCTGGCGGCGTCTCAGGCAGAGCTGGTGTGATAGTCCCAGATAGAGCTGGCGTCTCAGGCAGAGCTCTCCCAGATAGAGCTGGCAGCGTCTCAGAGAGCTGGTGTGATAGTCCCAGATAGAGCTGGCCCAGAGCGTCTCAGGCAGATAGTCCCAGCTGGCAGTGTGTGATAGTCCCAGATAGAGCTGGCCCAGCTGGCAGCGTCTCAGATAGAGCTGGTGTGATAGTCCCAGATAGAGCTGGCAGCGTGGCAGAGCTGAGTCCCAGATAGAGCTGGCAGCGTCTCAGGCAGAGCTGGTGTGATAGTCCCAGATAGAGCTGGCAGCGTCTCAGGCATGTGATAGTCCCAGATAGAGCTGGCAGTGTCTCAGGCAGAGCTGGTGTGATAGTCCCAGATAGAGCTGGCAGTGTCCAGATAGCTGCTGGCCCAGATAGAGCTGGCAGTGTCTCAGGCAGAGCTGGTGTGTAAGCTCAGCGTCTCAGAGAGCTGATGCGGCTTCTGGGGTCCCCCTTCCTCCAATGGGGCTCTCAGGCAGAGCCTGGACCAGGCTAGAGTCCAGCTGATGCGCTTCTGGGTCCCCCCTCAGTGGGGCTCAGGCAGAGCCTGCCACAGCAGAATGGCTCACAGCAGGAGAGACCAGCACTGACCTCTTAAACCCCCTGAGCAGGATGAGAGGTGGAGGGGGGTCATTAGCAGGATGACAATGGAGGGACTACCTTAATTGAGTTTAGGGACATTTTGGATGACAATGGAGAGAATGGACAGGAACAGAAATACAGTAATTGAATTTGTAGCTGTAAACAGGACAGTGGGGAGGATATTATATTTAGGCAAAAGACTGGTTGGACAGGATGGACAAGGAAACACAATAATTGGATTTGTAGCTGTAAAAGGGATAACAATGGGGAGGATACACTAATTGAATTTGGGACCTTTTGTGGAGGGGACACATTAATTACAGCTAGGGGCCTTTGGCACACAGGAGTAGAATACTAATTGGAGGATGTTCTTCCTATGGCCAGGAGGGATTAAAGGAACAAGGAATTAATAACTGGGCTGGCAGAGAACTCGTGACACTCAGGATCATTAATCAGGAATTAATAATTGGCCGGGGCCCCTATACCGTGATGGGTAAATCCTCAGAAGGTGGAGGGGTTAATGTGGTAAATGGCATGGTCAGGAAGGGGGGGTAAATCCTCAGAAGGTGGAGGGGTTGATGGGGTAAATGGCTTGGTCAGGAAGGGGGGGTAAATCCTCAGGAGGGGGAGGGGTTAATGTGGTAAAAAAAGGGCATCCTCAGGGGGGGAGGGGTTAGGAAAAGGCCTGGGAAAGGGTAATCCTCTGGAGGGGGGAGGGGTTAATATGGTAAATGGCTTGGTCAGGAAGAGGGGGGTAAATCCTCTGGAAGGGGGAGGGGTTAATATGGTAAATGGCCTGGTCAGGAAGGGGGTAGGGGGGGGGTAATTCCTCCAGAAGGGGGAGGGGTTAATGTGGTAAATGGCCTGGTCAGGAAGGGGGGGTAAATCCTCTGGAAGGGGAGGGGTTGATGTGGTAAATGACCTGGTCAGGAAGGGGGGGGGGGGTTAATCCTCTGGAGGGGTTAATGTGGTAAATGGCC